CTTTCATAATAAATTTATTTGGAGATATAAATATTGCACGTATTTTCTATAAACCTAATCAAAATTGAGAAAGTTTGACCAACACGATTCCCGTAACAACTCTATTTTTAAAACAGGAGTAGTATGCAGCAGCTAGCAGCATCCGATCCATTTACTGGGTGTTTGCCGTGTTGCGGCATACGTCCATATATATATATATATATATATATATATATATATATATATATATATATCACGAGCTGCTGCTGTAACTATTTTGCCTCGTTTTGTGCTAGCAAGCATACGCGGCGTACGTGGCCCTTGGTAGATATAAAAAAAAAACATACCCAGTGCAGTACGTGGCCCTTCGTAACTTAAAAAAAAGACGTACCCAATATAGAGAGCTCCTGTCTTGTGTGGGGTCTAGGAAAAAGTGTTAGTGATAAGCCTTATCCTCGTCTGTGCAATGCGAGGAGACTACGACTCAAACATGGAACCTTTCGCCACGTAAGGTAAGACTTCATCATTGCACTGCAGCCCGCTCTTCCCCTTCATAACTTTTCAATTCAAAAAAAAGATGTTGGGCCGGCCTGGACTGGACCATCATCCCTTGTGTACGCTGTCTGCTGGTGAACTATTGATTGTTGCCATTTTGCCAATGCTATTGGATAATAACTTTGTATTGCATTGCATTTAATGAGAGCTAAGAATGTGCCGAATCCTATATCCAGTCAATCAAGAGAGTGAAAATTAAAAGATTGCATATCACTAAGGATTCCAATTGTTATCACTTAACTAATGAAGATGTTCTTGGAGATAGTACTAGTGCTTGGGAAGCCTGCTTTCAGGAACCAAAAATAGAAGGTTTTTTCAATCAAGGGAAAAGGAAGAGAAGAGGAAAAAAGTCACAAAAAAAAGAAAAAAAAAAGCATATGCAGCTTTCCAAGGGAACCAAGTGTCAAAATATCACACTAACCTCCACGGGGAAATTTTGGGCAAAAGATATTTTCATCTAGCCCACAACCGACAGTTCCCCAAGCAAGCAAAGTGAAGAAGACACGCTAGCAAAGAAATGAAATGTCACACCCAATTTTAAGGATAAAATTAAATGCATAAAACTCATATGTGGCCGTAGATCACCGCACACATAAGTTGACAAAATACAAAAAAGTATCATCACGGTGTTTCTTACATCACGATTAATACCATCACAGCCTTACACAACACATCGTAAAAATAAAATAAAGTAGCTCTCTCATGGTAGCTCCAACACAGGGACGGTCAACTGGTTGACCACAAGCCTAAAAGTCCTCTGGAAACTCGTCATACTCGTTGACATTTGTTGTCCATCCGAGATTTTTATCCAAATATTGAAAGTAAACAAGCGTAAGTACGTCCCGTACTTAACAAGATAACATGGGGTTATGAAAGCTCAAAAAAGGTGACTCTAGTTTATCATGGTTAGCACTTTTAGTAAGTCAAGATTTTATCATCAACTATTATCAAGTTATGCTTAAGCCCCAATTAAACCCACATGATCAGATATCAGAATCAATTGAATCATATTATCATTGTAGAACATCATAAATGAACAACAAATAGTAATCATTTATTCTGTGAGTTTTCTGGGCCGCTCGTGACCGTGAGCACGGCTGTTATAACAGATTGTAACACTCTGCAGAGGTTGTGCACTTTCACCGTGAGTCGTGATTCCCATATGCCCGGGTTAATTACTCCCATAACACTGCCAAAGTGAGTGGGCGGGGTACACTATGAAGTCATTTCATAGGTTTCTCTAACAAGTTAGGGCCGCTAGGTTTCCTCGGCAGACAGATGCAGGAACCCCCCCTTTCCTATGGCACAAATCCTTCGCGGCTATACACATAAAAACAGGGGCAGTCCTATACCCAACGTGGCAAGCCCCTTTTGCGTCATAAAGGTAACCTCTAACAAGCTAGAAAAGGTCATATTACTGAGCTAAAGTCAGAGCCATGTGACCCTCACGGTTGCACTGTCAGTCCCAGCTTTTGTCGACAGATAAGTCCTTATGGAGGGCCGAGAGCATCATGATCAAAAGTCATTTGCTCCTTCGCCCTATAATTCAGTTGTTTAAAAGCAGCTTTTACCTTTTCTTTCCATAGATCATGTACAGTTACGTTGAGCGCTAGCATATACCCATATGCATATAACCCGTAGGAGACAAGGAAAATAGGATATTCAACCACTAGAAAGTCCTTACGGGTATCAAAATTAGACACATGTAAATAAGTAATTAATAAATGGTGAATAGGACATCAAGGTAGATCCCATGCTATACTTGCCTTGGTTAACAAACTCCTGCTGGTCCTCTTGGTCGTCAAAGAACTCTTGGTCTCCAACATTCTTCTCACCGTCTGAACTCGACCAACAAAGCAACATACAAGCATTCCAAAGGCATTCATGCAAAGCAAACAAACCTATAGTTAGAACAATACACCAGCAGTATAGAAAACAGGATAAAATGTTTATGAAAAGAATCTATGTCTCACTACGATCACGTCAACGCGAAGTTCACGAAAATCAGAGCTAAAACGCGAAAGTTATGATTTAAACAAGATTTCCTATAGCAAATTAATTAAGTAAACCTAACTATGAAATTTAAAAATTGCAAACATGGTTAACAGTTGTATTAACACGTAGATTATGCGATTACGAAACTAACGCAAGTGGAATGGGTCAAATCGGAGTTAAAACGAAGTTTTTATGAGCAAAACAAATCCAGTGGCATTTCTGTAATTAGAATGAACTATTTTCGGATTTAAAATAAATGAAAAGGATATTCAGATTTAATCGACTGAGGGACGGCAGGCATAAATTGCCGAAAAAACTAAGGGACTCTTAAGCAACTTTGCCACGGCGAAGGGGTATCGGCCACCCTGGGCCGTTGATCAAGCGATGGACGGCTCAGATTAGAGCTGAGGGGGAGAGAGAGAAGGCCGGCGGCCAGAACAAGGCTCTGGCAGGCGGGGCACCATGGCTGGCGACGAGGAACTCGCCAGCGCACTCGGTTCAGGGTCTACGGGCCACAGTGCACCGGGGGAGAGAGGAGGTGCACGCGACCTCGCCTAGGCCGAGAACACGGTCAGAGGACGCGGCCGACGCGGTGGTCACCATGGCCGACGGCGTGAAGGTCCATGGCGCTCGCGGATTGGGCCCTGGAGGCCATGAAACACGAAATTAAAGGCACGAGGAGAAGTAGGGGAGCACGGCGAATCTCACCACGGTGAAAATCGGAGACGACGGCGGCTCGGGGACGGCGAACCGCGCGGAGGGACGGACGGCGGACCTCGGCGCAGCGGTTGCGACTTCCTCGTGCACGGGCGAACGCGAGAGTGGAGCGGGGAGACAGCAGGGAGGGCGGCGACGGGCTCGGCTCCTTTATAAAGGCCGGGGCGCGGGAGAAGACGCTCCCACGACGCGAGGGCGGGCGTGGCAGCGGCGGTTGCGGCTTGACCACGCGCGATGCGAGAGGTGGGAGACGGCGCCGACAAGCGGGCCCAGGCGGTCAGCGACAAAGAAGGAGAGGAGGGGAGGGCGCGGCGGTTGCCCGCCCGAGTGGGCCGGCCCAGGAAGAAAATGAGACGGAGGGGAGAAAAGAAGAGAAGGAGGGCGAGCGGGCCGACGGGGGAGACATGGGCCAGCAGGCCAAAAATGAGGAAGGGAGGGGGAGGGAAAATAATTTTCTTTTCTTTTTCCAAATCAAATTTCCAAATTCATTTCCAAATGATTTTTGAATTTTTTTTAGCTTGAGTCAAAACCACTCAACATATTAAATAAAATGCTGCAGCATGAGTGCATCAACATGTATCTATCCTTATGATTGATTTTAATTTCACAAAAATTATTATTTTCGTATATTTGAATGCACCCATAATTACATAAATAAATCAAATTTAACTATTTTAAAAGAATGCAAATTTTAGGGTGTTACATGAAACTATAGGGACTCAGTAAACACAAACAGAGAACAATTGAAGGCGGGGAAATGGATCAGTCAGAAGCTGCAGAGAAAATGGGCCACGAAGCAGCGGGGCCGTGGCAGCAGCACCGAAACAAGCCCACGAGAACCCATACACACACGGACAGAAACACAAGCTGACTGTCAACTCGTCGCCTGTTCACCATAACCACCCCCATCAATCAGAGTTCAGATGCTCGACACGCGTACTGACGATGACCAGAGGATGCAGCTGAGAAATGCACGCAGGTGTACTGACGATGAACACAGGATGCAACACGCAAATGAAGAGTGTATAGCACCAGGCACCCCAGTTCAGCAATGTTAGGTCTAAAACATTGGAACTGATCGAACAGTGCAGGACGTCAAGCCATTTATGAAGGTTGGTACATGAATAAAAACCTACACACAAGGGCTCAATAACAGTGGCGCTAACGACAGACTCAACAGATTTGGACGGCATTCATGTTCCCTCTTGGGACGAACAATCGTAATATTGTCCACGTGATCTGATAATATCAACCTTATCAATCAAGCAGTAAACCCCAGGACCAGGAAGGCCCATATACGTAATAGTATCATCCTGTTTATCAGGAATGACAAAAAAGGTAGTAAGAGATACCCAATGTTTGTGGTCACTCTGGGCTTGGAAGGCTGCAACTCATATATTCACAGTAATAATGTTACAAGTAACCAACCGAGGTTACTATTTTACACAAGGTGTACAAACATGTCCACGCCTGCAAGATGCAAGGAACTGCTCTACAAAAAAAATACAATTCGCGAGTGCGATACTGAACCGATCAAACCAAGCTTCAATGCGCTTGTGCATGATAGCGACCCGTGACGGCCAAGATCTGAAACAACTGCCGACTGGCAGCTTCGTTGGAGTTCATGGGATTTGGCAGAATTTAAGGATCCCACTGCGTGATGGGTTGTCCGTCCTGAGGGGGTAGACGACCAATATCTTGCTGCTTGCTAATGGAGTGTGGAGACCACAGAGCGACTGTTCACTGTTAATCATTCACGCGATGCTTCTAGCTAGTTGCTCAAATCTCTGGGTAATGACTTGCTGGTTTCTGCCCGTGTATATGCCAAGCAAGGACTGCAGGGCAGAGGAGAGCATAACTTTCTGAGTCACGTTTGGGCTGAAACCATCCTCATCATTTATGGCCTCCGTTGGCAAGGGCTGGTGCTCATTATTGAATGATGTGCATAATGATTTCAGCCAGTCTTCTAGAAACGACGCTTTCTGCTCAGGTCAGGTGGCAGATGAGTTAGCTTGGGTAATAGGCCAATAGATCCATCAGACTACTAGAGAACAGTTGCAGCAGTCAATATTACATATTTAGACCATAGAAGAATTTGCAGTACACAGCAAATCTACATGGAGCAGGAAGCACCTTACATTACTTTTCTATTCCTGCACGGATTATGGAGTGTTCCGTTTATGCATATGTTACAAAAGCTACAGTACACTGATATACCTGTACATCTAAGTGATTCGGACACATTAGGCGCACCTTACAAACCACTAGTCATCAGACCAAGACAAAATATAGAATAGTATTTATTCTGTTTGTTGTTTAGCAAGTATTGCAATGGTATTATCATCATATGCTTTCATTTCCAGGACATATAATATTATTTATTTCTGTTTGTTGTTTAGCAAGTATTGCAATGGCATTATCATCATGTGCTTTCATTTCCAGGACTTAATAATAGTAAACAGACTCAAGTACTCAACTTATGTGCTCTATGCTTGACGAGCCCATAAACTTATCTGCAATATCATTTTTACCTGAGTGACAATTGCCACTAAGAATATTGTTCCATATGAGACTTATAAATAAAATAAAACACACACTAATATACATGGTATAAAGGAGAAATCCTTACCTTTGTAAGAAAATCTTTCAGGCTTGGATCATCATTTGGTGACACAAAACTAAGCAAATGAAGAGCAGTAAATGCAAGCTGTAAAAAAGAATAGAGCAAGAGCTTCAACAATGCTGCCGAATAAGTAAGTCACTATATGAGCATCAATGACACTAACCTGCTTCTCAAGGTTGTCTTTCTGTTTGAAATTTGAAGGTAATGATGAATTGTTTGAATTCAATGACTCGAGAGCATGCACAAGGCCTCGAACAACATCTGGAAATGAGCTACCGTAATCTGTAAAGAAGAGAGAGGATAAGCTCCAGCAGCTTGATGGATGTAGTGGTGGGATGTGCACAGTCAAGAATCAGGAAACTGCTATTACTAATGTCCAATAAAGACGATTTGAGTTTTGGAATGTTAATGATCGAGGCACAAGTTTTACAGTACATATACGTGGGTAGATACAGAATCTCAAAATTGTGGGAACAACGCTTCAAGTCCAGGAATGTCATGGTATTTCCAAAATGTGGAAAGCCAATACATTAAAAGGTGGAGAATAGAAGTCAGGGGACTAACCAAGCCTTGACACTGGAACTGCTAGAGCAACAGCTGCATGCATCTTTATCTTATAATTGTTGGAGTCACGGATTAGAAGTAGAAGTATGCTATAAACACTAGATGCCCTGTTAAACAGAATAATTGAAGATCAGAATCATCAAATATTAATAAGTTTCAAGCATATACCAAGATATTACCATGATTGACAGGTTTTGCAAATAAGACAAACATGAACAGGTAAGAAACTATGTGAAATCTAAATGCCTATGAAGTGATAGTCATAAGTGTGAATCACAGGTAGTCAATCAAAAGATTCTGCTGCGTGGTATCAGTTACACCCAGTGTTTTCTGCTGTGACTTGCGCTCGTGCCATAGGCAACTAGGGACCCATTAGTGCTATAGGCCATAATATGGAAAATGAGAATTTTTAGAGAAAGCAACCCTGAGGCATGGCTTGCTCCTGCGTGGCAAATTTGGGTGCAAACCAAAAAAAAACCCTAGTCGTCTGAAGCAATTGGATGAACAAAGTTTTACTCTGTGCACAAATGCGTACCAAGGCATGTCTTGAAGTCTCAAGGTATCATTCATGAACAAGTTGCTAAGGGCATGGCAAACATTCCATTGGACCTATACAAAAGACATGTCAAAGTGCAGCCAGTTATTCACCTCAAGAATCTTAACATTCCACAATGAATTCTACCATCCCATAAATTAGATAAAGATATATACTTTTTTTGCTAAATGTATAACAACCTATATTTTTCACTTCTTTATGGCAAAATAATACATGTGATAAAGGGGAGAAATCCTTCACTTCCCATTTAATGAGGTATTCCTCCTAAGGATGATAACAAGGAGGCAAAGTTGCATATTCTTTTCTCTAGACTTAAAACACAAGAAAATGACTCAGAAATTAGGCTAGTGCTTAAACTGTTAAGTAAAACTATTTCTTGTAGTACCTTTACATTCCCAGTTGTCACACAAGACACCAAAGCCTGCACCATTCTTTCGAGCCACACCGGATCTCCATAAAAAACTGAATCACTGTTACTAAAATCTTAAAATTGTGAGCTGGAGTAACCAGCAATAAGAATAGTGATTGATCCATACAGAATGTTCTGCTACCTTGGGTCATTTATTGTGGCAGCCTGGTAATTGAATCTGATAAATCTTGAAAGATAACCAAGAGCTCTAACAGCGTTTGATTTTACCTGAATGAAAATCAAAACAACTCTTTTCACCACGCATACAAGCAGCTTTGATTAGTTTACTTGTTTCACAGCTTTGATTAGTTTACTTGTTTCACAATGAACATCGATCTCCAATTATCTCTGTATTCCTTGTGGCTAAAACTGACAATCTGGTATGGATGCTGCCGAACAAACATAAACAAAATACATAAATTGGCTAAATAAATCTTACTTTTTCACTATCTTTGGCCAGACGCAAAGCAACTTCAACCAAAAGAGATATGCTTGATTTGTTCAGTACACCTACACTTGACAAAAGATAATAAATGCATAAGCATGCTTTATTGGCATATACACTGGCACTGTAACCATCAAAATGAAATATGTAACACCCAAAAATTTTCATTCTTTTAAAATAAGTAAATTTGATTCAATTATATTATTAAGTGTGCATTCAAATACAGGAAATTAATAATTTTTGGGAAATTAAAATCAAAACATAAGGTTAGCAACTTCTTGATGCATACATGCTGCTGCATATTTATTTTGTGATGATTGGTCTTGATTCAAAGTTCAAATGAATTCAAAATCTATTTGAAAGTGCTTTTGGAAATCTATTTGGAAAAAGAAAAGGCAAAATCCTTCTCATTCCCTCCCTTCCTCATTTTCGGCCCGCAGGCCTTTTCTCCCGCCGGCCCGCGCGCCTTCTTTTTCCCCTCCTCCCATTTTTCCTTCCTGGGCCGGCCCAGCAACCGTCGCCGCGCCAGCCCATCACCACGCGAGCAACCGCCGCCGCTTCCTTCTTCCCTCTCTACCGCTGACAACCCGGCCCCGCCCGTCAGAGCCGCCCGCAAGGCGCTGGCCCAGCAACCACCGCCGCTCCCTTGGCTCAACCATTGCCGCGCCTCCCCTTCCTTCTCCCCGCTGACGGCCCGGGTCCACCAATCAGCGCCGTCACTTACCTCCGCGCCCCGCGCCCGGTCAAGACGGTCAGTCCGCAACCGCCGCTCCGCGCCCACGTCTCGCGCCGTCGTGGGAGCGTCCCCCGCGACCCCCGCGCCAGCAGCGTCCTCCGGCCCCGTTCTCGGCCTGGCCGAGGTCGCGTGCACGTCCTCTTTCTCCCGGTGCTCTCGGATTCGCAAACCGAGGCTCGTAGGCCAAGTTACCCGCTCGCCGGCGAGGTCCTTGCCACCGTCCAGGGCAGCACCGCCGCGGCCGCACTGTTCCGGCCACCACATTCTTCTCTCTCTCCCCCAGATCTAATCTGATCCGTCCGTTGCTTGATCAACGGTCACCGTAAGCCGATACCCCTTCGCGTGTCGGTTTTGCTAATGAGTCCCTGAGCTTTTCTATATCCTAACCCGCAGTCCATAGCGCATTTCCTGAGTACGCTTTCTCCTTTTGATAACGTAAAGTAAACTGTTTTAGTCCAAAATACATTTTCAGTATTTACAGAAATGCCACTAGATTTGTTTTGCTCATAAAAACTTCGTTTTAGCTCCGAATCGACCCGTTCAACTTGCGTTAGTTTCGTAATTTCGTAATCTACGTGTTAGTACTATTTACCATGTTTGCAACTTTTAAATTTCATGGTTAGGTTTAATTAAATAAATTGCTATAGGAAACCCCGTTTAATTCATAACTTTCGTGTTTTAGCTCCGTTTTTCGTGAACTTCGCGTTGACGTGATCGTAGCGAGACATAGAAACTTTTCATAAACATTTTATCTTGTTTTCTTTACTGTTGGTGTACTGTTCTAACCATAGGATTGTTTGCTTTGCATGAATGCCTTTGGAATGTTGTATGTTGCCGTGTTGGTCGCGTTCAGACGGTGAGGAGAACGTTGGAGACCAAGAGTTCTTCGACGACCAGCAGGACCAGCAGGAGTTTGCTAACCAAGGCAAGTATAGCATGGGATCTACCTTGATGCTCATTCACCTTTATTAATTACTCATTTGCATGTGTCTAATTTTGATACCCGTAAGGACATCCTAGTGATTGATTACCCTGTTCCTTGTCTCCTATGGGTTATATGCACATGGGTAGTTTGCTAGCGCTCAAAGTAACTATACATGATCCACATGATGAATGATGGTTCTATGGAACGAAAATTGTAAAATTTGTTTTAAACAACTGAATTATAGGGCGATGGAGCTAATGACTTTCGATCATGATGCTCTCGGCCCTCCATAAGGACTTATCTGTCGGCAAAAGCTGGGACTGACAGTGCAACCGTGAGGGTCACATGGCTCTGACTTTAGCTCAGTAGTAGGACCTTTTCTAGCTTGTTAGAGGTTACCTTTATGGCGCAAAAGGGGCTTGCCACGTTGGGTATAGGACTGCCTCTGTTCCTATGTGTATAGCCGCGATGGATATGTGCCATAGGAAAGGGGGGTTCCTACATCTGCCTACCAAGGAAACCTAGCGGCCCTAACTTGTTAGAGAAACCTATGAAATGGCTTCATAGTGTACCTTGCCCGCTCACCTTGGTAGTGATATGAGAGTAATTAACCCGGACATATGGGAATCACGACTCGCGGTGAATGTGCACCACCTCTGCAGAGGGTAACAAACTGTTATAACAGCCGTGCTCACGGTCACGAGCGGCCCGAAAAACTCACAGAATAATTGGTTACTCATTGTTGTTCAGTTATGATGGTATATGATGATATGATCCAAATGATGCTGATATCTGATTAAGTGGGTTTAAATGGGAGCTTAAGCATAACTTAATAATACTTGATAATAAAATCTTGACTTACTAAAAGTGCTAACTGCAGTAAACCAGTGTCAACCTTTTTGAGCTTCATAACCCCATGTTAACTTGTTAAGTACGGGAAGTAATTACGCTTGTTTACTTTCTATATTTGGATAAAAATCCCGGATGGGTACAGATGACAACGTGTATGAAGAGTTTCCGGAGGATTATTAGGCTTGTGGTCAACCAGTTGACCGTCCCTGTGTTGGAGCTTCCACGTGAGAGCTATCTTTTTATTTTCCGTTGTGTTGTGTAAGACTAAGTTATGTTATTAATCGTGATGTAAGAGACACCGTGATGATATTTTATGTAATTTGTCGACTTATGTGTGTGACTGATTCCTGGGCACACATGAGCTTTATGCATTCAATTTTATCCTTAAAATTGGGTGTGACAAAATATGTACCTGCATAGGGATCTGTATGCACTTCCAATGCTCTAAAACGAATACAAGAACAGAGATTTGCCAAAGCCCATGCAGCAGTGACACGAACCTAAATATTAACATTTACAGGTAAGCATAACTGAGAGAGAGGGAAAGGAAGGGAAGAAAGGGAGGGATATCATACTGGAGTTGATGAATTATGTGTATTGAACTCAATGGCATCTATGAACTTGCCTGGTAGGCTAGAGCTGCATGAGAAAACAGTGCATCACGCACTATTAAGTAACTTAACAAAAATGCTTTGAGTTTAGCATTTTTTTAGGAGAGGCTGCAATGCAATCACAGTTGTGAAAATTACCTTGACAATATCTGAGGAAAACATGCAACAATGCCAATAGCTCGACACGCAGCTGATCTTACACTAGGAACCATATCATTTAATGCCGCATGAACCTAGACAAGAACATTTCAATACGAATATACAATGTTTCTGAACAGGGTAAGAAAACACAATCAGATACAGAAATAGACTAATGAGATTCCTGACTTACAGATGAGGAGGTCACATAGTCTCTTTTATTTTCTAGCAGGGAGAAGAATACATCAGAAGTCATGCCAGCAAAGCATGTGAGGGATGCTGTCCTGACCTAGAAATAAACAGATGCTTTATCAGTCCAGGGAAAACACAAACAAATAGGTCCTAGTGCACATCTAGCTTTCTAAGAAGTCAATCAATCCTAAGCTTGATTAAGTTTATAAAAAAACTAGTATCAACATTTATGTTTACAAATAGGTTTATATGAAAATATATTTCATGATTAATCTAATGATACTTATTTTGTATCAATAATGTGTCTTTTTTTATAGATATGGTCAAACTTGAAATTGGTCGATTGCTTGGAAAACAAGATGTGCACTCTTTTTGGGAAGTAGGGAGTATAAACAATAGCATAAGCACGATGTCCATTCAACACTTTGATGATTATAAATTAGCTGGCTTCTTTAGGTTAAGTGGCAGCCATTTGTTGCCATTCTGCTTCATTAAGTTAGGAACATAGCATCAATAACTTAGACTATTGATAGACAATGAAATCTCATGGATGTTTTACTGCAAATAACAAAAGAAAATGCAGAATACAGGTTCTAGAGTGGTAAAATACCATAGCAGAGCCATGGGATAATCCCTGAGGGAGATGAGTCTCTATCACCTCGATCCAACGGCTAGTTCCAAGTGTTATGTCCAAAGAGCAATTCTGTGATGATCCAGCAGCTTCCATTTCAAAGTGAGGTGCAGACTTAATAGTTTTATTTATGGTACAGTCAGAAATTTGCTGAATATCCAGCAATCTGCATTCTTTGATGTCATCTGCTCCTTTGAATCCAGATGAAACACGCAGACATTCATCCATTACCTGAAAGGGAGGGGGGAAATCTTAACCATATATAAATGTATAAATGATAAAAAGGTTATTTACAGTACATCCATCACTAAAAGGAAATGGTCTACTCACACTACTGACTCAATATCTATGTCAATAATAGCATACCAATACATAAAAAATGGAAAAGGATAAAGCACCAGTACATGCTGCATAAAGCAATCAAGTTCATAAGAACATGAGCATGAAAATTATACAAGCATAGACACAATGCAAACAATGGAAGTCTAATGTTGGATGAAAAAGCTTGTGTATACATACAACTTTGCGTGTTATATCATATGCAGATTAATACAACTTAAAGGTTGATAGTAGCGCAACATCCATAGTTTATCGTGCTTTCCTAAAGGAGTTAGGGTTGAAGTTCAGAAATGCACAGCGGACACAAAATGTGATATAGCACAAAAGTACAGATTGTTAAGCAATATCACAGAAAACATTACCTTTATTCCAGCCACAAGACATCTTTCCTTGATTGATGATTCTTCTTTGGGTCCAGAGGGCCCAAAGTTAGCATCATACTTTTGGTCTTCAAAGCTTTGTATTTGCAACAAATTAAGAACGTTGTCTCGAAGTTTTTCCCAAATCATGTTTGCACAGCTTGGGTAGTTGTGAACCGCTGATCTCAGCACCTGAGCACACATAAAAGGTGGATGAATTATGGACAAGAATGTCGACTTGTATGCAAAGACAACTAATATACATATGGAAAAATGCATTTTTGTAATTTGCGATAAGCCCTACAAGGATGCTGGTGCACAGCAATTTATTCCTATGGCTAAAGCCCACATACATAGGAAATTTATGTTATGGTATCTCGATTGGTGGTCCATATGTTCTTATTCATCATGCCTGGACTTGTATCTTCAGTTGATGCAACAGGTGGTTGTCGAATGAAATATCATCATTTAAATTGTACAGACATGGAAAGGACAGAATGTTACTTTTATTTAAAAAAAGGATGAAGCTCAACTTTCCTGAAAGCCCATTAAAATCAAAAATACAAACAAGATAACCAGCATACAACTTAGAAGGATGATACAATAGTTTTCAACAGCGCCAGTGGTTATAATAATAAGACCATAATATAGGAAAAGCTTATAACAAGGGGGCCCGGAGTAGAGGGAGGAGGCGGCGACACTTAGCAATGGAAATACATGATATGTCAACAGTCAAGTCTGTCAGACAGTTACTGGACAAACAAATGCAAAAGCAATCTGTAAGATTCACTGAATCAGAATGACAACTTGCCTGGAAAGCTCCATGTCTAACACTGTAATACATTTCCTCCTCTATACAATGAAGAAGAATAGCTATAACATTTAATTCTTCCTGATCATGTGATGGTGGTGAAAAGCCCATATTGATACAAAATGTGATAGCTTAGTACTTTTCAAACCCTTTTGAATAAGAACAGCTTTGCTTGCCTTTTAAGAAGACAATACAGTAGATTTGTGCAGTATAAATGATGAAAAATGAGAAAACCAAGGAAGAATATTATTTAAATTCAGGATTACAAGGCCTAACCAACACAGCAATCCTCAGAGAGAACCACAAAGACATCCAAAGTTGGTGGCACTTTTGAAAATGCTGTCTCCAAACAACTTAGAACATTAACCTGTTGTGCACTCATGTAAGGAACAGGGCACCCAAGACCACTGGTTCTTCAATAAAGGAATTAACCAAAAAAAAAAAAACTAACCAGCAAGGCATAATGTTCAGTATTGTTTGAGTGCTTGTCCAGTATTCTACTGCACAATACTTTAATGATTGTTGGCAACAACTCCTTTGGCATCCGAGTGTACCTGTTTGTCTAACATATTATTAATTATACAAAATCGAGTAGAGAAAATAGAAAACAGGCGTGTCAAGATCATACGGTGTAGCAGATATCAAAAGAATGAGAAATCTGAACAATGCCGCAAGCAAAGTAGCTTGAGTTTCACGCTGTATCAAGTATAGTGCTCCTGCAAATCAGAGGGAGCCAAAAATGTAAAATGCAAAACCTCAACAGATCTCTTACAAAGTGGAGGGATCTAGTTAATTGATCACAGATGGATAGGAGAAATGGCTGAACAAAAATATTCAAGTTCCACCAAAATAAAGGGACAAAATGCTGGGATTTTAGTGCTCAGCTGTAGAAATGAGGCTATGGATAACTTAAGTACTTAAATAAGTTAATAGTGGTAGTGATAGTGATATGAAAGATCTGTTCTAGAGTGCTTTTTTTGTGTGAGAGCTCATATTTTTTTAAAGTGGATAACATAAGTATCTGGAACTTGTGGGCCCAAAAAAACATCTAATCTGGTGTGGCCCATTGTTCCTAGTCATAACAAAAGTTTCAGCTCAGCTGAGTACACCGTCACTGCTCACAAATTGGATCAAGCAAGTTCAGACCAGAAGCAAATTACTGGAGATGTTCAGAAGACTTCAACCAGAGTTTACTGTGTACTGAGGTTGGGCATCAACAAGCTTAATGTAGCAACCCGTATTTGCTTTATGGACCCTGACACCCGGTTACTGTGTTTTTCTTTGAGACATGCCTCTTCTAACTGTTTTAGCTTGTGTAACAGATGCCGGACAGGTTTGGGAGCCAAGAGGAACATAAGAATTAGAATGGTACGTAAACAGATGCCGAACCAGGAAATTGAGACCAGGCACCACTGAGTTTCTCCTGATTATTCTTTCCTTGATTCCAAAGAGATGACCAGTTGGCATATAGATATAATAGATGCAAGGTAATCTTTGGCCTAACGACTTTGGGGTCATGAGTTCATGACCCAGCATCCCAGCAAATTAACAGCCCTATCTATCTGACCTGGCGTGTAGAAGCTATGACCTGACAACTATAGGGGTTGTTTACTTGTTTTCCATAAAAAAGTAATAGAGGTCGCACAAAATCCTGCTGCTACAGTGGTGCTCCTTGGGCACATACAACCAGCCCAGTCAGCATGTCATGACAGCTTGAGCTGAGCATAGTTGGTATTAGGTAATGGTGCAATCAATTACTTTAGGATATGATTTTCTATTTGGAGCAACAGTTGTCAACCACAATCTCCGGTGGTAAAAAAAAAGTCCAAGATATTATAGTATTGGATTCTGAAAATATCAGTAACTCCCCTACCTGTATGCAGTTGCATCAATATTTGACCAAGTGAGGAAGATAATGTGGTGAAAGATCCACGCTTGGACGACTCCTTGTACTCTGCAACTTGTATCAAAACTAATGCTTGCCCTTCCAGCATGGAAGCAATGGTTGATGCTGCCTCAACACGTACCTGCGCATATTTAATTCAGGCCATATAGATGGTGTACATTAGAGTTTATAAACTGAAAATTAACAATTTGATGTGACTATAAATTGCATGTTCCATCAAATTCGAAAGACGGTGAAAGATATTTAAATTGAGAAAGTATCATATAGAGAAATTCCATAGTGCCTGCCCACTCGGTCAAACATAGGAATCACATTCAGACTAAGTTTGCTGTACAAAATTACATCTATTTCGACGGAGGAGATCAAGGAAAGGTGAATGCAAAGTAAAGTTTGGATTAAGTGCATCATTTATCAATTTGGTTACTACATTAGAATTTCCTATTTCCATAAAGCACATAAGTCATAATGGCATTACGGCAAATAAATGCCTTCATTCGCACAGTTCAAGGAAAGCACAGCTTTGTCAAATGCAGAATAACTAGAAAAAAAGATTGTATAATGATGATTATGCGCAAATTTGAGAAACTTCAAATCAGGATATATGTATGTAATTGAAGACTTGTACCTTTGTTATAGGATCAAAAAGCAAGCATGTCATCAGAGTTGCTTGATATTTCCTGTACAAGCAACAAAAGTAACATCAGATGATGTTAAGGTGTAAGAAAAGCTGTAGTGTTGTATGAGGAAAAGTTTACCTTTGTTGGAGAACATCATTCTCAGGCAAAAGTACTGGCCATTGTGAAGTAAGTAACTTTGGATCAGCACGGCAGATATCCTAAAAGAGGTGAGAACAGGATAGTGAGATGGTTACTTCAACAATATGAGCATGTTGAAATATTTGATGTTGCATTCGATATTTGATATCTCATATGGCATAACTTCAGGAAGAAAATGACATCAATTAGTGGAACTATGCAGATGCCATCGTAAGATGAGCTATCAAATAATCATTTTTTGAGCTCCACAATTTAATTTAATTTGTAAAATAAAAATCAAATCATAAGTTTTTTGAATTGCCATAGGGGAGTTAAGTTGCCCAGGTTATCTAATAGGTCAGACAATTTGCCTTATGAAATCAGTAGATACCTATTAAAGGGTACCACCATCCCTTCATATATTCAATAAAAGAAACAACCATCCTAAAAGTTAACTATGAAGGACATATCCCATGATATTTAACTCCACTATACAGCTCAACCTAAGCTGTACAAATGCATAAGGAAAATTTGACTAATGGATGTATCAGAACTAAGAAGGGAAGCACGATTCAAAGCATATGTGTAGCTACATACCTGTACACAAAGGATGGCAGCTAATCTAGCCTTTGAACTCCGGAAGCGGTCTCCACTTTTTGCATAACCATCACTATCACTCAGGTCTGAGTCTGATGAGCTTATATCATACCGAGAATATTCACTATCTGAATTTCGACCTTCCAGTGAATCATTCTCTCCTCCATCCTTGTTCCTCAAATGAGGTGGTCTATATCGTCCATGTGAAGCTCTGGGTTTTGAATCTGTTCTAGTTTCTTTTGGAGCTAGTGTAGGAGGTGAAGATGACCTCAGCCCATATATGAAAAATATTTGCAGATTTGCCACAAACCCTGCAACCTTGAAGTTTTATGGACATTGTTACAATCAGAAAATACATGTAGAAATTTTATTTAAATGAGAGGACTAAAGTTTTATTTTATACTTACATGCCCTAAAAGTGGTCCTTTGGGATCCGCAAGAACCAAATGTAGACAACGAAGAAAGGAAGTATAAAATCTGTTAAATTGGTGAGGTTAGATTTGAATTTACCATTCATTCAATTCACTCTGATCTGTAATCCATGAAATAATAAAAGTACTAACCTTGACATGACGCTACTCTCTATAACAAGATTCCTTGCTGTGACAAAATCCATAACTTTCCTCAAGACCTAGAAAGTACAAAACTGGAGTTTGGGTTAAAACAGAAGGCCAGTGCACACATTGATAATAAAAAAACTCAATTCAAGCCACAGAACAGATGTGCAATGTGGATCAGGCAGTGCTTGATGTGTTAGCATGTAACAGTGCCAAACATCAGCAGAAGTCTAGGTGATCAGTCACAGATGAAGCTCTAAACCATTGATGACGGTTGTGTAATAAATTCTACATTCTTGCAGATTTCTTTTGCTGTGGTACTTGTTCGGTCACTCAATGCCCCCATGTCAATGTCATAGCACCAAGCAGAACAACAAAAAGATAAGATCAAAAATCACTAACCTCAATGACAGACTGCCACAGATTTTCTGTCATATTTGATGCAACCTTACTCAGTATATCTTCCACCATGGAAAATGCAGATATCTTCATATCCCAAATATTGGAATTTTTACTATTCACAGATCCAGAATTAGGGAAGAAATGCCAGTGGCATTTGCTGGTTTATCAGAGATGTTCAGTTCAGCTTGCAAGTATGATACAATCGAGACGAGCACTGTTAGTGAATGTGAACTTTCAGTTAATGAAACGCTTCTTCCATAATCCCTGCTCCAGAACCTGGCCATCAAGAACAGAAAGCATTTAGGAGAAATATAAAGATCATACTCCTTGATGACATTTGAATTAATTATGAATGCAGTAACTTTAGTATCACATACATACAGTAGAACTAAAGGCATTTTCCTTTTCTCCAACGTGTAGGATAAGTGCACATCACTAAAGGCAGATTTTTCAAGAACCATTGAAAGGATTGGAAAATAATAATAATAATAATAATAATAAAATTGTCAAAGGCTGTATAGCCCCACCCTTGCTTCTCACTTTTGGCAATTACACCAGCATTTCAGGATTGATGCAGATTATCACTTTCAGTATTAAATTTGGCATTTTGCCTCCCTGGACTTTTAATGTAGCCTGACTCATTCACCACTATGCCCTAAAAATTGGCATTTGTTTCCTCTTGATTGAACAATATGGGTGCTAAATTGCTGAAACTTGAGGTGCATGAGGTAATTTGCATCAAATTAAAAGTATGGATGGAACTGCCAAAATCTATTCATGGGGGTCTGGAGTATCAGGCAAGTACAGGTGGTGCAGCACAATTTCTTTAAGTAGCCATAGAGGTTTGCTTATCTGGAATAAAGGGAAGAACTTCAGCCAAAAAAAGAAGGGCTATGATAGCAAATTCATCATTTAAAAGTCCTTTAGGTAAGGGTATGTTATATTGGTATAGTTATAAATGTAGAAGTCGTTGTGCTGACTGTTGATAGAAGCAAGAAAGAATCAGAAATTTTTATGTCACTGAAAGTTCAGTCGGTACATGAATAACTAGCAAGAAAACAGGCCATTTCTTCTTAATTCAAAGAGCACAAGTGCAGGAACAGTTTCTCCAGTAGTATTTTATAATAAACAAAACCTAACCTGAGGATATGTAAACATTCAGATGTTGTATTCAATGCAGCTGTCCTACTAGAGAGGCCCTTCATGCATGCGCCTCAATCGAGCATTTGACAAGTATGTCAAGAAACTTCAACATTGCAAGACAACCAGAAGAGTCAATCTCCATATTTGTTTTGCACATGACATCATAAATCTGCAAAAGTACATTTTTTCATGAAAATTAATGCACAGATTTTTTTTCAGTTTATCCAAAACGTATAGATCTCACACTGATAGAATATTTGAATCTTATCAGTAGCCTAACCCAATATGATTGGACTAAAAAAATACATGGTGAAACTGAATCGAGCCACATTACACTATAATAGTCGGTACATATGCATTCCACCATGTCCTGCGATTGCCACCTATAATAGGTCGACCGAGCGGAAGCGCAGAACCATTACCAGGTGGCAGACACTGCGCAGCGCGTCGTCGGCGCCGGGGCAAGACGCCACCGCCGCGGCCGTGTCAGCGAGGAACGCCACATCCGAGCCCACCTGCACAGAGAGGCGAAACGCCACAGCGAGTGAGATCGAGCCGAGCCAAAGCGGGGCGGAGACAGAGGGGATCAGGAACCGCACCTCGTGAGGGGAGAGCGCGGCGGCGGACGTGGCGAGCGAGGGCGTGGCCGGGGAGAGGAGGACGCGGCGGAGGAGCTCGAGGAGGGCCGTGGGCGAGGACGAGGCGAGGGACTCGTCGCGGAGGGTGAGCAGCGCGGTGCGCCACGGACGCGCGCTGCCTCCGGAGGTCGAGGCGGAGGCCATCATCGGCCGCCGCCGCCGCCGCCGGTGAAGTCGCGGGCTTTGCTTTGGCCTTGGGTTTGGGTTTGGTGGCCGAAACGCACGAAGAGGAGGGAGCCTGGGAGCGGGATTCTTCGCGTCCGAACGGTCGGACGGAAGACGTCCACCGAACAGCTCTCCCGCCCGTACGTCTGTATGCCTTCGCACTACGAGAAACCTGAGTACTACCTCTCAAATAAAAAAAAGAAATATGGAGTATTTAAGTGAGATCGGCATCTTTTTTTCTTTTCTTTTCTTTCTTTTTTCTTATTTCTTTTTTCTGCATCAAATTATTTTTATTTTGTTTTTGTTTTATGTGATTTTTTATCATTCTTTTCCTTTTCTATAATTTTATCCTTCTTTTTTTATTTTTTTTTTTCTTTTTTTTTTTTCATTTCCGTGTTTCAGTTTATTTAATTATTTTTTGTTTTATGTGAATTATTACTATTCTTTTCATATTTGAATTCTTTATCTTTCTTTTTATTCCTTTTTTTCTTTTCCAGTAATTAATTAATTTGTTTGTTATTTTATTTTTGTTTTATGTTTCATTCTTTTTTTGTTTTTCTTTTCTTTTTTATTTTCTCTTTTGCCTTGATGTTTTCTATAGGTTTTTTACTTTCTTTTTTTTATTTTACTCTATTAATTAATTTCTTTTAATGTTTCAACAACAACAACAAAGTCTTTAAATTCCAAACAAGTTGGGGTAGGCTATAGTTGAAACCCAAATGTAAATCATCAAGGTTCATCCACATGAATAACTGCTTTTCAAGCACTCCTATCTAAGGCTAAGTCTTTGGGTATATTCCATCCTTTTAAGTCTCATTTTATTACCTCTACCCATTTCTTTTAATGTTTACTTTTTAATTTTCCTATATTTAATGAGATGTTATGATGTTCACGTAATATAAAATAATGTTTTATGATGTTCTATACAATGTTCTTAGATGTATTTTGTGATGTTCACGTGGAGGGAGTATGTGATTTCTACGTTATTTTTGTGATGTTGATGTGGCATACATGTGATGTTCTACGATATATTTTTGTGATATTCATATAATATACATGTGATGTTCTATAATTAATTTTGGTGATGTTCACGTGGTATACAGTGATGTTCCATAATGTTTTTTTTATGTTCACGTGATATACACGTGATGTTCCATAATATTTTTTTTATGTTCACATGGTATACATGTGATGTTCTACGATATTCTTTACCGATGTTCATATAGTATCTATGTGATGTTCTATGATATTTTTATGTTTATATGGTATACATGTGATGTTTTATGATACCCGTATAGTATATTCACGTAGCATACAATGATGTTTATGATGTGTTTTATGATGTTCACGTGATATACATATGATGTTCTATGATATATTTTATAATGTTCACACGGTATACTTATGATGTTCTATGATGTATTTTTTGTGATGTTCACGCGGTGTAATGCTCTATGATGTATCTTACAATATTCATATTGTATAAATAAGATGTTCTACGATTTTTTTAGTATCTATATAGTACTGTGTGAGGTGTTCTAACATCAACTATCGCGCTAGCCCCCTCGATGGTGATGGAGGTGAAAAAGCGCGTTGCATGGCGCATGTTCCTACCAATGCAAAGGCTTTTTCTTATTCTTTTATTTAAATTTTCTTTTATTTTGTATTGCATTTTTCTTTTTCTGTGTATATTATTTTAAAATTTATTTTTTCATTTGTCATTTTATTTATATTTTTTTCCTTCTTGCTTCTTTTTTTTGAATTTGTCGGTGTTACATCATGTATCAAAACATTTACCTTTGCTTAACTGTCTAGATGATTTGACGTGTCTTTTACATTTGTCTAGGTTACATCACATACAAGAGTATTTGACTTTGCTAAACTACATAAATAATTTTATACATTTGTGATGTGTCTTCTACATTTATCTAGATCACATCACATACCACATCATTTGCCTTAATTATAAAAAAATATTTTGTATATTTGTCACTTGTATTCTGTATTTGTTATGTTATATTATTATTTTATATTTATCTATTTCGTATTTTCATAAATTTGTCATTTATTTTTTCTATATTTAGTTCTGTTATAGATATTATAATACAAATTGCATGAATCTATAATTTCTTCTCCTAGATCTAGAATGTGTTCCTTTAAACTGAGAATATTTTTCTTGTGAAGACGGAACATTGTTTTCTTAAACTAGAACATTACATTTGCTTAATAAAAAATTATTCCATATTATATAAAAAATATTCATTAATAAAATTTTATCTAAACATATCTAAGTGAGATCTTGTTTTGAAGATTTTATTATAAGAAATATAATGGTGCAATCAGAATTTAATTTAGAATCTTGATTTGGCTAATATGACATTTTTAACTTTTTAAAAAAGTTTCATGAACGATGATGTCAGCTGATTTGGAATTTTGCATGGCTCCATGCACGAGTAATACATGATGGTTTCTAATCAATTATGAAGTGGTCCAATATTCAGAGCTTGTTCGGCTAGCTGGGGCTGGCCAGGCCACTCAGCGGGGCACTGTTTACGTCATATTAGAACAAGATTTTTCTCAGATTCAACCAAAACATTATTTTTCACTCACCCCACCCGCAAGGCAGTGTTGCCAGAGTCGCCGTGGGACCTTCAAGTGCTTATGAGGAACACATGGGCGGCGAGGCAAAAGCGTGGGACCTCTGACCTACTGTGGGATGTTCTATGATGTATTTACTGATGTTCATATAGTATATATGTGATGTTCTATGATGTTTTTATGTTTATATGGTATACATGTGATGTTTTATGATACCCGTATAGTATATTCGCGTAGCATACAATGATGTTTATGATGCGTTTTGTGATGCTCACGTGGTATACATATGATGTTCTATGATATATTTCGTAATGTTCACACGGTATACTTGTGATGTTTTATGATGTATTTTTGTGATGTTCAGACGGTGTAATGCTCTATGGTGTATCTTACAATATTCATATTGTATAAATAGGGTGTTCTACGATTATTTTTGAGTATCTATATAGTACTCGTGAGGTGTTCTAACATCAACTATCGCGCCGAAGCCCTCGATGGTGATGGAGGTGGAAGGTGGTTGCATGGCGCATGTTTCTACCAATGCAAAGGCTTTTTCTTATTCTTTTATTTTGTATTGCATTTTCTTTTCTCGTGTATATTATTTTAAAATTTATTTTTCATTTGTCATTTTATTTATATTTTTCCTTCTTGCTTCTATTTTCTTTTTTTCTTTTTTTGAATTTGTCAGTGTTACATCACGTATCAAAACATTTACCTTTGCTTAACTGTCTAGATGATTTGACTTGTCTTTTACATTTGTTTAGGTTATATCACATACAAGAGTGTTTGACTTTGCTAAACTACATAAATAATTTTGTACATTTGTGATGTGTCTTCTACATTTATCTAGATCACATCACATACCACATCATTTGCCTTAATTATAAAAATATTTTGTATATTTGTCACTTGTATTCTGTATTTGTTATGTTATATTATTCTTTTATATTTATCTATTTCTCGTTTTTCATAAATTTGTCATTTATTTTTTTCTATATTTAGTTCATTATAGATATTATAATACAAATTGCATGAATCTATAATTTATTCTCCTAGATCTAGAATGTGTTCCTTTAAACTGAGAATATTTTTCTTGTAAAGACTTTTAACATTGTTTTCTTAAACTAGAACATTGCATCTCCGCTCAATAAAAATTATTCCATATTATATAAAAAATATTCATTAATAAAATTTTATCTAAACATATCTGAGATCTTGTTTTGAAGATTTTATTATAAGAAATATAATGGTGCAATCGAATTTAATTTAGAATCTCGATTTGGCTAATATGACATTTTTAACTTTTAAAAAGTTTCATGAACGATGATGTCAGCCGATTTGGAATTTTGCACGGCTCTATGCACGAGTAATACATGATGGTTTCTAATCAGTTATGAAGTGGTCCAGTATTCAGGGTGCGTTTAGATCCAAAAAATTTTGGATTTTGGGTCACCAGAAGATTTCGTTTGTATTTGGTAATTAGTGTCTAATTATAGACTAATTAGGTTCAAAAGTTTCGCCTCGCGCATTTCTCGACCAACCGTGTAATTAGTTTTTTTTCGCTATATTTAGTCTTTCACGACGTATCTTGCAAGATTCGATGCGACGCTTACTTACGCAAAAATTTTTGGCAACTGAACGGGGCCTCAGCCCATTTGTTCGCGTGTTGCCAGAGTCGCAAAATTAATCATTGGCGTGGGACCTACGAGCGCTGGCGGAACGCGTGGGCAGGAAAATCTGTCGGCGTCAGGCTATGGTCCGCCCGCCCGGACCTTAGCAGGCCCCGCCTGGGAGAGCGACCGTTTGGGCTCTACTGGTCGGAAGCAGCCCTCCGACATCCACCCTGCAATCCTTTTTCTTTTTGGCCCATGCTGGTTCAAGAGAAATGACACAAGAACAGCACCTTTACTGTATGATGACGGTGCTGAGGTCGAATTATTTTGTATGAACGATAAAACACCATGGTATGTTGGCATTTCAGTCGATCATACTATTCTTGAACATTTAGGACATATTTGCCTTGTGCTCTTTTCAGTTCATCTAGTATCAACTTGGTAGTCCCTTCTACTTGGCCATCAACGGTCATGATGACATCGTGGATGCTTTCAAGTTTGTCCATGCCATGAAGACCTTCCAACCTTTTGAAACGCAATTCAAGCCTTTCGAGTGCTGACATTGCCCTTCTGAAAAATTGAGAGATGGCAGATGTGGAATGAAGATGCGAAGCAGCTTTAGCTTAAGGAACCCTCCAGCCGGCACAAAGATCTCACCCCGGTAGTTGGACTTGTTCTTCACAAGAATGGCTGTTATATCAGGATCATGTTTTGCTGCACAGACTGAAAAGGTGAGGGAAAACAATGTCCTCAACTTGCTAAGGAGCTTCA